ATTCTAATCTACGGTTGACAGATTAGGTTCTGGTTCGGCAAGTTAGCAAAAGAATATACAGGGTTCCTCAGCACAGCTTCGCGAGCGAGCAGCTTTCGTTAGAGGGAAGTTAATGAACAGCAACAAAATTAACTTTCAAAGAACAACAGATTCAGCTCACCCCCTCGATGCAGCACTTTCGCGAAGACTCGTGATTGGCGGCAATCACGGCTAAATCAACGAAATCGGAATGGGTTGCTCGGGCTTCGACCCTCCACAAGCCACTCCAATCTCGTCCTTGCTATTTCTAAGTGTTCTCCCGGCTCCAACCGGCGGGAACAGAATCTGGCACCAACCAGATCCACCTAAGTCTGGCTCCGACCAGCACTTAGGCTCCTCGGCTCCAACCGAGTAGAAATAGCAAGGGGCTCAATTACAAACAGGGGCCCTAACCGGCGCCTGATGATCAGCAGCAGCGAAGTCTGGAACACCTCACCAACCTCCGTCACTCCCTCCTCTTCCTCCTCTCCAAGTTGAGTTTATATAGGGTTCTTTAGGTCCATCCACGTCACGGTCAGAAGGTAGGAGGGATAATACCAAAAATGGTCTTATGAGATTTGGGGGAAATTGGTTGACCCCCTGATCCCTCTTGACAGCGGAATCGTGGCAAAGTCGTAGATTATGAGAAGGCCACTCGTTAGTTCTCACTTGTCGCTGTCACAACTACAGGTGAAGGGACATGGGTAGCGGAGAGTAGCAATTAATTAACCCTACCCCGGACCGGAGTCCGGAGCCTGACGGGAAAAGGGCAATTAGTCACTGGCGTGCACTACATCCGCCCTTGCACTGAAAAAGTGTGGCACTCCTTACGGAGTGCAACACTTTCATTCCCACCCTTTAGAGGGTTCTGATCCTGGTCCTGCACTTCATCCCAGCGTTCCTTGGTCATTGGCGAGTTCTCGCCCGCCACGACGGTGGTCCTGGAGCTTCTCCTCCCAAAAGGTCTCATCCATCTTTTGTATCCCTGGGGCTCGGGAAGACCATGGTTCTCCACCACCTCGTAGGCCTTTGGTCCGTCGCCTCTCCTCCGCATGCCACACAGTCATTCTTGTCCTTGTAGGAGACTAAGTAGTTCGGATGCATCTCTGTAGCGCGTGGAAGGTCCTGGAATCCGGGTGACTTGACACTATCATTTGTGATTTACGGGTGCTGCTTCGAGGGAGCCATGACATGAACAACCAATATGGTTAGTACAATGATTAGTGTACTACTTAAGGTGGGTCCAACGTAGGACCAAAAGTCTCGTCGTTAATAAAGCTCAACCGATAATTGAATATCATCAGTCAAATCAGTGGTCACTAGACATCCACTTCATTTTCGCCTGGGGAATAGGCCACCTCAGGGAACGGTGTAGGGCATTTTGGGGCAGATGGGTTCATTCTTCTATAAAACGGTAAAGGAACCCATTTCCCTCTGACATTCTCTTTCAATTTGATCCAGAGCACACACAACAAGATCATGACACTAGAGACAATAATGGACGCAATGAACAGTCTCTCATCATACCATCTGAAAGTGTTATGCAAAATCCCTTTATGTATGTTAAGACCTTGCTGCAATTCTTCAATGTCAATTCCAGAACGCAAATGCTCTAAATTTGCCACCTCATTGACATTCAGGTGAAGTTTATCGAACACAGAGTCATTCAGGGCCTGATAGACATCAGACAATTCAAAGGGAGTCAAAACATCACTGACTTTTGGTATTACAAGATTGGATTCAAGAGTGAAATTTTCGAAATTACTGCGACCCATGTAGCTAGAGGGGAGGACGAGGTTGGGTGCATGGGCACTACATTCGGGTCGAAGCTGCAGAATCCCCGTTCCGCGAATAATTTCTGTATGAGCATTGTAATTCGAAGTCATCCTGATACTCTTTCCTTGGTCCTTTGGGCAACGGACGGTTAAATGTACAGGATCGGGAACAGAGAAAGCCCAATTTCCACTCTCATCCATTCTATAAAAGTATGGTTGGGTGTGGCGCAAAATACGTCTCGTACACAGGTTAGAGGGAAAAACGTTCTGTTGCATCAACAGCCTGTACAAACACGAATTTTCGGGGGATTTTCTAATAGCAATGTTAGGCTGGCAAATTACCAAAGGGCCCTGCATGCACCCTTCCATTTCATCAGCATCCATTTCAAAGAAAGCTTGCCTATTGCTACTCACAGCAATGTAAGGGTTTTCAGGGTCGATGACCACAGAAAGATTCAATTTAGGAATATGAGCTGGAAAAGGGATAGCATGATAATAATCAAAGTAATTATCCATGGATTTTAAGGGGATGCTGATGAATAATCTGAGAGCTCCCGGCTTCGCAGCTGCTTTGACCTCTGTCCAGTGATAGTAAATGTACATGTCTTCCAGTCGGAGCGATGTAACAAAGGTCATATCTGCCGGTAGCAGAAGTTGAATTTCCTTTAATAATTTTAGATACATTTCTGGTGAAACAAAGAATGGACTAAGCTGTCTTCGCGCCGTCACATCAAGAGCTTGAGCGAATCCATTTACGTCGTTATGGATTTCCGAGAAGGAAGACTGCAGCATTCGCGCAGCTGTGCTGAGCAAGCTAAATGTGATTATCCATCTCCGGCTTTCACGCTGATCCATGATCATTTGATATTGCAACCCTCTCACCTGCTCGATAAGCGTTCCAGTAGTTTGAGCTAATTTCCTGATCGCTTTAGCATCCCTCTCTACATTCGCATTGGTGGCATCTAATGCAGAAGCCTGAATGTGAGCTAGATGTATGGCCTTATCTGCCTTTAGATTGACTTGATCGATAGCGTCACTCAAGTCCTTTAAATCATCCTCCTCCGCTGTTCCAAACAAAAATTTTAGAATTTTGCCTCCAATTCCTATTAAGGCAGACCTCTTTTCCCGATCTGGGACAGCCACCGTTTCCTGCAGCCTATTAAGAGTGGATAGCACTTCCTTAATACCCTTCTTCATCTGCTCTACCTCCCTGTTGAGTAGCATCAGCAAATCTTCTAACAACTTCGTGTCATTCCTCGGGGGATCCTTAGAGGATCCGGATTGAGGTCCCTGTTGAAACCTTGGCCATATCTCGTCGTGTAGAAATCCCTCGAAAGTCTGCAGTTCAGCGAGGAAACTGGCGACCACAGTTCTGTACCGTATGAATGGAACTTCGACGATCAAGGTCCATTTATCGCCTGACAAAAGGAAACTCCCCTTTTTGATGAAAATGATACCCTTATCGAGTCCCGATGCCTTGATTCGTGATGCATTCCATCCCGTTCGCCCCTCTGTGGATCCCTTTTCGGCGCTTCCGGTCGGCAAGTCATTGGCAAACACCACATGGATTAATACGACAAAAATCGTGAAACACCAATTCAACTCCATATCTGCAATATCATATTCCCATTTCCAATTCCTTAAAGACAGAATGGACGTCCTGATTATGTCGGCTTGCCCCGTTCTACTCCAAATCTAATGCGAGACTTAATAGCCTTTGTGCCAAAAGCCTCTTCCCCCTTGTTTCTTTCTGAACGGGAAACACAGGTAATTAAGTTCGAGGCTTTCCCTCTCGAAGCCTGTGCTGTGGAAGGCCTTGAGTAACACTCTTCCGCCATCTTAATTTCCACAGGAGAAACGGTGTCGCCCTCATTTTCCTGGCTCATAGCCTGCAATGCCAAAATGGTCGGGTCGGAATCGCCCTCTGAGTCTTGGTCCTCTGATATCTCAGGATCACTGGGTCCCGCCTGATCTGCCCATCGTACTCGCTTTTCCTTCGGCACTTGGTTTACCCTCGGGGCACGAGACGAAGGCATTACTCGCGGCAAGTCGGGCACTGGCCCACGACTTCTCAATGCGTATCCTTCCTGACCTTGACCTTGTCCCACTGTCCTTCCTACGATATCTCTGGGCCCACATGAATCAGTTGGGTTGTCTCCTAACTCCCCTACATCAGCTTCATCCCCTGGTACCAATGAGTTTGTAACTTCACCTAAGCGTCTATCTTCTTCCTCTTCCTGTCTCGTCACTTCCCCTTCTTGCTCGATAGAATCATAAGGGAACTGGATCGGTTCGTAAAATCTTTTCAACCTGTTGACGTGTACCAAGTGTGCTCCCCTATCTTCTGGCTTTTGAATGCGAAAAGTTACGGGTCCCGTTTGTTCCACAATTCGGTAAGGCCCCTTCCATGGTCTGGCCAATTTATGTGTTAATCCCGGGCTTACTACTGGTGTATGCATTAAAACAAGATCACCTAGCTTCAAATCGGACCGGGCAGCCCGTCTGTCAAAGTAACTCTTTCTTCCTTCACTAGCCAGTTTTGACTGCCCCCTGGCACTTTCGAAAGCTTGTCGCAACCTAGCTACTAGCTCTGCCTTATAGTCCTCTAGAACCGCATAGCTTGATCTAGACGGTCTGATGATATCATGGAACGGTAGCTGAGCATCTCTTCCGTACAAAAGAAAGAAAGGAGTCTCTCGGGTGCTCTCGTGGATTGCGGTGCGGTACGATCCTCTAGAACCGCATAGCTTGATCTAGACGGTTTGATGACCTCATGGAACGAAAGCTGAGCATCTCTTCCGTACAAGAGAAAGAAAGGAGTCTCTCGGGTGCTCTCGTGGATTGCGGTGCGGTACGCGAAAAGTACGAATGGGAGCCAATCATCCCAATCCTGCTGATCAATCGTGTAGTGAGAGAGCATTTGGGTTAGAGTCCTGTTAAACCTCTCTATAGCTCCATTGGTTTCAGGGTGGTAAGGGGTGGTGTTTAATTTCTGAATTCCCAAGAAAGCGTACACCCTTTTCATCATATCGGACAGAAAGTTCGTACCTCTGTCGGTGAGTAATTTCTGTGGCACACCGTGTCTAGCTATGACTTCTGAAATGAATGCCCGTGCTATCGTTTCAGACTTTTGGTTTGGAATTGCCACACCCTCGACCCATTTAGAGAGGTAGTCTGTGAACAGGAGTAGATATTTATTGCCATTGGCTGTCATCGGTAATGGCCCAAGAATATCCATGCCTACCAACTCGAAGGGCTGGCTGACAGCTGTAAATCTCTGAAGTGGGGATGGTTTTGCATGAGGACTTGTTTTTCGCTCATGACACGAGGGATACGAAGCTACATACTGTTTAACGTCCTGAGTCATCCCTTCCCACGTGAACTGCTGGCTGATTCGATGGAGGGTTTTCTTATAGCCAAAATGGGCTGACAAGGGAGGGACATGATTTAGTTCCATTACCTTCCTCACCATACTGCTAGGAACAACGACTTGTTCACGCACTTCCTGGTTTGAACGATAGGAAGGGGGTATGTGCTTTCGATATAGCACACCTGCATAGACAAAATAGTCTGAGGTATTTCTGCCTCCTTTCCCATTCCGCTGCTCGCATCTATCCAATAATACTCTGACCTTGGGGTCTTGCCTCTGTTCGTGACAAATTCTCTGCAAGTCATATACTGGTCCCCACTCCACTCCGCGGTCTCCATTTGATTCGGCACCCTCGTTCTCGTCTTCGATCTCGACGAGGTTGATTCTAGACTCCAATCTGTTTACTGATTGATCCTCATAGTCTCGTCCTGGCAATCTGATCCTGCTGAGAGCATCGACATTTGAATGGACCCTTCCCGGCCTATGTACAACGTCAAAATCAAAATCCTGCAAAAGAATGCTCCAGCGTGCCAATCGGCTATTTGTCGGATTCTTCATTTTCAGCAGCCACCTCAAGGGAGCATGATCAGTGACTATGAGAAATGCCCTGCCATAGAGGTAGCTTCGAAAGTAGGAGATCCCAAATACGACCGCTGCGAGCTCCCGCTCGACAGTGCTGTAATTTAGCTCAGCTTGGTTGAACTGACGGCTAGCAAACGCCACCGGCAGCTCCTTGCCATCGTACTCCTGAGATAACACGGCGGCCTTGGCAAAACCGGATGCATCCGTTGCCAAGATGAATCGCCGACTGAAATCAGGAAACCTGAGAATGGGCGCTGATAGCAGTATCCCTTTCATTTTCTGAAAGGCCTCTTCTGCTTGGATATCCCAATGGAAAGGCCTCTCTGTCTTTGTTAATTGGGTAAGAGGACGCGAAATGGCGGCAAAGTTCGGAATGAACTTTCGGTAGAAGCCTACAAATCCGAGGAAAGCCCTAACGTCCTTCACATTTTGTGGAGTAGGGTATTCGACAACCGCTCGAATTTTTCCTTCCTGGGGTTTCACTCCTTGAGCACTTACTGTATGGCCTAAGTAATCTAGTTCGCTCCTCAGAAAAGAACATTTGCTTGGCTTTAAACGAAGATTGGTTTCCATTAGCTTCTGAAGGACTAACCGTAACCGTTGCACGTGCTGATCACGTGCAACGGTTACGGTTAGTCCTTCAGAATGATCAGTGCACGTGCACTGATCATTGAATCTTCAGCGAATCCTCAAAGAGAACTCCCTAACAGGCAACGAACAATCGTCCATGCGTCAATACTGGCTCCGGAAGTAGTAGTCCAACTTTGAGTGTCTCTGCCTGAGACTTGTTTGTGGTCATACCGTTGGCAAGTACCATAGAGAATCGACGTCGACAAAGATGAAAGCGTATGTGACGTGAGATGACGTGTCCATTGAAACTCTTCGCAGCGAATTAACGCTGCGACGAAGCGCACCCGTCATCACCTCATCTTGTAAGACGTTTGCGTTCATGTTTCTCATGATCATACGCGTGCCGTTGCAATGGTCCAATCGAGATACTCCACAGAAGCATTATGATTACTCCAATTTTAAAGCTCAGGGCGTGCGGAGGGAGGCCCGCGGATTGAGAATGTTGAATACGACTGAAAAGTCTACGCAGCGCTCATGAACATTCTGTTCCATTTCATGCCATATGTGAATGAGCGTGAAGTACGGGAATGCTTTACCAGTGCCACCTGGCCCATCGTTGAAGAACCGGCGATGTGCTTCCCGTTAAGAATTTCCATGCGCCACTGCATTTGAATCGCTTTCTCCGCATAAAAAAACGCAGAATTGAGCATATGCTTGCTGCTTCTTTTGATTTAGCAGAGGAACGTGATGACGATGAATCAAAGGTTGTAGGTTGTTCACAGCTAGATAATAAACATCACCGGATATTATGAAGCAGTATGGACCGTTTACCAATAATGTCAAAAATGGCTTCATCGAAGGAATTAAACGCATTTGCGCTGTTGTGCCGCCTGTTGTGCTGCCTAGCGTTAATAGGCTCACGTTGCTCAGCGGTTAACGCAGCCCAACGCTGCCTCCATTCAGCTCTCCTCTCAGAATTAACATCCTTATATTGTTTACTGATCAGTGGAAACATACACTATCTCGCCGCTTGGGTAAATCCTTAAGGTCTCGACATTCCAGGCTGCTGGATGCTCGAACGTATATTTACGTCCCCCTCACCTTATGCGTCACAGTACATGAAATAAACAGGGACGGCGAGTGACAGCTAAAACTTTCGCAATGAAAGGATTAATCCATCCTGCCTAGCCTTTGACCTGGAGAGGCAAGAGGCTCGTAGGCCTAACGGCTCGAAATGAAAAACCAGGCAGTACTCAACAGGACATTCCATGTTCATAGGGTTGCAATCATGCAAAAACGGCTGGAATGAGTTGGGTGTCCTAGCCAACGCAGCTCTAGTATCGTTAAAGGTTCGACGCGTACACGCGCAGCTCTCCGTGCAACGTTAACAGCTTGATGTTGCTCTACAATTAATGCAGCTCTCCTATTGGCATTAATATCTTCAAATTGCTCATCGGTTAGTGCAGATCTTCGCGGCCTCGGTGCTTCTCATACGCGCACGGATAACATATTATTACACAGTCTAACCCATCCCACCCAACCAAGGACCACAAAGGCAAAGGCTTGTAGGCCTAACAAATACAAGGACGTATCATGAAACGCGGTTAGCCAATGACATGAAAAGAAATGGCGCATGGGCCAATCGCCTACCAAGCCTATGATCTGGAAAAGCTAAGGTATATAGGCTACCTAGCTTTTATCCTTGAGAGGCAAAAGCTTTTTAAATTCATTGTAGGTTACAACTTTGGCTACACCTACCATGAATCTCCTTTAGCATATTCTAATAGACAGTGATTCAAAAGTCTTCATACATATGGAAAATCGTCATTTTTTTAAACAGTCACTTTATTCACAAAACATGCTCTACATGGTTGCCATTCCTTTGAAAACACATACGTATGCGTCTCTCCCACTCATGGTTCGAATGCGTTCCTTTAGGCGATTCATGTTTCGTATCTATGTATGGAGACTTTTGAATCACCCTGTAGTATGGAATGGATAATAAAAGATGGAGTATGGACAAGATAATGGTGTAACGTATTACAGAGGAAATAATCCCCTTGTTAATGCAAGACGGAGATTACCACATTTTTGCTTCGGTCCAACAAGTTCAAGAAGAAAACTTCATAGTCCAAAATAATTTTTTATTTGAAATTTATGATTACACGTGAAGACCCTCTACACGATCCCATCGCCAAAATGACGAAAACTAAAGATGAGATTGAGAAAATGAGGAAGGCAAACGAGCACGACCTAAAGAACACTTGGAAAAGGTCATCGATCCAGAAGTAACTCCCATCAAGAAAACATGGACTACATAAGCGATATCTGGGAGTGTTCAGAGGATCGAAGACTCAAAATCCTCCCTCCCTTTAACTCAGGCCCACCCAGAACGTTATGCTCTGCGGTTTCAACTCTGTCTCTTTCTGATTTTCCGTCTTCTCTCCATGTCCCCAATGCCTCTCGTGTTTGGTGACTTTGCATGGTCCGTATGAGTTACCATACCCTCGGAACAGCTTGGATTTACAAGTCGGGGTGGTCAAGACATTCGATGCTGAAAAAAGGATTGCACGATTTCTTAGACGAGAGATTACTTAGTTTCGTGGGGTGTGCCATAATCAAGACAGACAATATGAAGTTTTTTGTAAGAGTAGGAGAACAAGATATAGGTAGGTTTTTAAGGGTGGCAGGTGGGTCGATGTGGACCTGGGCAAAAACGTATGAGGGTGAGTCTCTCTTCCATCCTGCGCCGAATTCTTGAATCCTGGCCCCACGGGATATATCTCGGGCTCGATTGCAAGGAGCTCAAGGTCCCTGGTGACTTCAGTGTCTGTTGCATCAAATACTGAGTACTTCTATTGACGCATCTGCAGGTAGATCGCTTTTGGCAAATATATCATAATAACAGACATTTGTAATAATTTCCCCGAGAAGTCATGGCCATCCTTTTTTTCAAAGGGACCCTTTAAGTATCTTGGAATTTTTTTTTCTTTTTTACTCATATCCCGGGCAATAATTCGATATTTATGGGGCGTAGTGTAGAGGCTCTTTCATCTAAAAGAGAAACACCTCATTTTTCACAGCACCATTTACAACACGCTATGCTGAGCCTCAATGGGATATTTGAAAGAAAGAGGGGCTGCACAGGTGCCCGATCCCATCTTAAGTTCTATATTTTTAACTGCAATTGTTGTCCGTATTCATGAATATATTGACATCGGGTCGATTGGAAATGCTAGACAATGGGCACGCATTATAAGCATTCAGATTATATCGGATATCCTTGGTATTTAAGGCCGATTCCCCGACAGTGGATCACCCATATTTTACCATATCCTGCTTTAATGCTTGACTAATATCAATAAAACTAAACAATGAAGGTGCTTTTCACTCTGGGTAGCATACTGCTCTTCTACTACTCATGCACATGGACAAATGGGTCCCAACTTGTTCATCATTCTATCGTAGCCGGAGAAGTAATGCAGCCCGATTACAAAGAATGCCGACTCACGGAGATGGGAAAGGAATGCAAAGGTGAAGAGAGCAAGATAGAAACAGGAAGGGAATGTATTCCCTGGTCACGTGTGTTACAAAAAAGCTTTCCGTTAACAAATTTCATATTCTCCCACCTACAATTTCAAGATCGCAAGCACCCTAGACTGCCTCAGAAGGGCAAGGATTTCCTCTACCTCTGGATTAAAACAGATTGCCCTACCAAATCAAACGGAAGCGATTTTAAATTCTTCCGTAATTTCGGCTCGAAGAAGCGACCCTGGCGCTTCGTCTCCCTTGAAAATCCCGCCTGGGAGTACTGTGACATCCCATTGTACCGTGGTCCCAAAGGTTTGCAAATCTTTTATCAAGAGCCTTCCTAACCTTTTGACGGGCAAGTTTTGTTTGCGCTATACCTGTACCTGCCGGTCCGAGTTTTTCTACCCTTATATTTCCCCTTTTTCTTATAGGAAATCATGTAATTGAGAAAATGACGTGCAATTTTGACAAGCTGTCGCTTTAGATGCACAATTGCTGAGAAAATAATTTTTAAATTTAGTGACGTCAACAGCCTGAAATACTTTGTTACATGTTTAGATATTATAAAAAAGGAAGTAGTTTTTTCACATTTTAATCCTTCTCGTAGCGTCCACATTTGTCAGCAGTTTTTCTTAACTCCTTTATCGGCCCCATTCTACAGAACTTTTACCTGGACGTCATGTCCATACATTCTGTTATCTTGATACATATCACAAATAAAACCCAACATCCACACCTACAAATATGTAACATTTTTGTCTGAAAACAATTCACCACCAATAAATGAGACAGATGTAGGAGAAGGTGAGGCAAAATGGGGCGATTGGCTAAATGGGACAACTTAGATTTGAACAAAACCATACCGGATATGTATCGTCTATTTACAGTATTATAACCCCCCACAACAGTGGTAAATTTTCAGGCAAGGAGCTCTTTAAAATAGTTTATAAACACCCAAGGAGCAAAATAATAAAATATAATTTTCATATTTTGTTTCGAGTTTTTGATGAGCGAAAGGAAATAACACGGGAACATTAGAGGCTTCCGATATTTTTTTTTCTCAAGGTGAAAATGTGACAATATTGTTGTCAATCACCCCGTTTTGCCTCACCCAAGGGGAAAAATGGGGCGTCCCTGTGGGGCAAAGCGGGATACTAATCTGAATATTGTTTTACAAATGTTTATTCCTAATAAATAGCTTTTGTAATAGGTCATTGAACTGAAACATCAATGAAATATCTAAAAATAGCAAACTAGTGACTTTCCACATATTTTCCTCTTGTCTTCATTTTATGCCTATTTACAAAGTTCAAAGAACAGTGACCGCAATGAAACCTCCACAAATAAACCGCATTTTTTCCCCGTGTTTTAATGTATTTTCATCAAATGCCTTTTTAGTAAGACCACTATATGGAAACAACAGTGAAACGTTCATGGCCAAAGCAAATGTTTCTGTTTCAAAGGGATATTCATGAGAGACAAAAACTGAAATTCAGGAATAAAGTTACCTGTCCAGATGTATATCTGGAAAATAACCCTTCTTCAGAGATATTACTAATTAGGCATACTTTTTTGGCAGACATTCCCATGAAATGTATTGTTTCAGAAAAGAGGCGGATGCAGAAAACTGAAATCCCTTTCATACTGTCTGGAAAATATTATTCCTGTCAAATTCCTGCATTTTTTAACTAATTTTTTTTAATGCGGCAAAAATATATTTGCACAGCACGTTTCGGATAAATTTTCACCATAAAACGATGCAAGCGCGTATACATAGCAAGAAAAACCGTAAAGAAGTACCTTTTGGTACGACTATGTAAATAAGCTAAATATCCATGTTCGTTAGCTTGCCAATGACGTCACGTAACAAGAGGTAACTTGACAGAGCAATGAATATGTCTATGGCCCAAGGAGTTTTACCAAATAGATACCAAAGCGGATCTTTTAAGTGAATTAATTTCATCATAGTTAATAGAGTGCCGAAGGCGCGATCATTGCGAGTTTGTTTGCCCAAAGGGCGATTAAACTCGCCAGTGTCATATAATACTAATTCGCTGTGGTCATATTCCCCTTTAACAGACCCTCCATACACATTGCTTGGAAGGATTCCAAAAGTGCTCAATAAAAAAAAATTAACTGGAACAGTTCTGTACGAAGGAGGTTGTGCTTCTAAATGGAAGTATACACATTTCAACAGGTTCAAAAAGAACATAGGGGAGCACCACCAGCTCGCGAATAGGAGGCAGTTAGCGAGTTAGGTAATGACATGTGATTTGACGTTGTTACTTTGGTTTCACGCTCAATCCCTAGCATTCATTAATAGTTCAAGCTCTTTCAGTGCAGATACCACACGTTGCAGTGTGAAACCAGAGAAAAAAAGTCAAATCGCACGTCATGACCGAAGCAGCTAATTGGCTTCTGTTCACTAAATGGTGCCGCTCCCCTAGGAGTTCAAATGTGACGTCACTTTACTGTCGTTTTCCTTTTGCTCTTTGATGCATTTTTGTAGGATCCAACTCTTCACTAACTCATCCCGTCCATTTGGGGCATTCTGAGGCATTCTGAGATCTCTATTCGAAACCCTAATAAGTATCTCTTTGTTTTTCTCAGCAGCTCTCTAAAATTAAAGTTGTTTCAGAATATATTAATAAAAACGTTAAAGGGCTTCCAGCATGAGAATCACTAGGTAAAAATGTATGCGCGTCGTTTAATATTCCTATTGTGAAATTTAATTCATGCATATTGTCTTCATACACTTCTTGGGGTAGAAATATCCTAAGTACAAAATAAGAGACATAAAAGCTCATTGCTTCATCATCTTGACACACTAATTACTTTTGGACTATGAAAACTATGGGGAGTTTCATCTACATATTCACATATACATAGGGTCACAAGGGCTGTAATGAAGGCCCGTTTTCCAGTTACTTCCAAAATTTCCTTATGCATGAAGGGTTAAAAATGAGCAAAAAGAGGGAAGAAACAAAATGTCATGACATTCGTGACATATCAGAAAAAAGAGAGAACATTTATTTGTTTGCCGATTCAATTGGGACGTAACAGATAACCGACAAAGTGTGAAACACTACATAAATAACTTCCTTTAACCAAGTACACATCCACTCTGTCACCCTTAGAAAGATTCAAAAGGATTGATTGACCTGACATTTGCTCAGTGTCGCGATCACCATAATCAGTGCGCGCTTCTCCTCTCCCTATTCCGTTTTGCCTCAGTAGTAATGTAGTGTGCAATTCTGAAACGCGAAAGTGAAGATGAAACGCATATATGCCACCCACAGGGGCGGTAAAAATTCCACTGCCGGGATCCATTGCCCCGCCTACGTTGACCTGAGCAACGTAGTACCTCTGAACGCCGAGAGCACCACAATTTGGGTAATATACATCAAAATAAACGCCTTCTCCTAGGATACGTGCGCTGGTCTCCACCTGAAACTTCGGGTCAGTCTCCTTCAAATCCATCCGACACATAACAACATCCAAGCGACCTTCCTTCGGGTTGATCAGGTAATAACCAGGATTAGCGTTTCCAGCCTGACGAAGAGATGAACATGATTTTGCTGGATTGTCCGGAGACGAAATCTTGCCATGGAGAAAACCCGCCCCTGCAATACGTGCACTGGTCTCTACCTGAAACTTCGGATTGGTTTCCTCCAAATCCATCCGACACATAACAACATCCAAGCGACCTTCCTTCGGGTTGATCAGGTAATAACCAGGATTAGCGTTTCCAGCCTGACGAAGAGATGAACATGATTTTGCTGGATTGTCCGGAGACGAAATCTTGCCATGGAGAAAACCCGCCCCTGCAATACGTGCACTTGTCTCTACCTGAAACTTCGGATCGGTTTCCTCCAAATCCATACGACACATAACAACATCCAAGCGGCCTTTCTTCGGGTTGATCAGGTAATAACCAGGACGAGTGTTTCCTGCTCGGCGGAGAGTAGAGCAAGATTCTGCGGGGTTGCCAGGGGGCGGAGCCTTTCCTTTACAAGTCAATCCACCCAAAGTGTAATTTGCTTTCTGACCCTCAAATGGTAGCCCTCCGAATCGCAACTCAGTTACGGGTAATGCTGTTTCATTCGTTATCGCTCCAGAGTCTGATTCCCATCGTGGGGCTCTTGCATCACAATTGCAAGGCAGGTTGGAGAGAGTGCAGTTTCCAGAGTGACGGCACTTGCATATGTGTTGTCCTGCGTTTGACCCGTCCCAGTAGTACTGGGGTTTGCCATGACGGTCCACCCACCATGCATAGTGTATGTCTCCAGTTGTGAGGGCCGTCGCCAAACAGTCATACTGAAAATAGACACAGACAGTGCGGAGTGTGAAACATCTACAACTATGCAAGATTGGATGGTATTCTAAAGTCAATATTCCGGTACTACACCACACCACAGGATCCGCTCTGCGGGTAAAAAATGTTCAACGTACATAAATAATTCAGAGTTAATATTTTGCATTAAGAGAAAATACAATTAGTAAAGGGATGAAGTTCGAATTTCAAATATTCCCCCAGGGGATGTATCGGAAACTAGAATTTTGTTCCTGAAGTCAGTGTCACGAGTGACGTTTGTGTCAAATTTCACCTATACACGTCTCTCTATTTCACTGATGCAAGAAAATTATTTTGGAACATTTCCCCAAAGTGTGTGCCTCCAGGGCATCTACAAAGTCTGAATTTTTTTGAACTCAGCATCCTAATAGGTTCTGACGTACGAAGTTTCATCCTTTCATCATTTCTAGAACTTGGTTGGAATTAGCGTCAGTCACTCAGTCAGTCATGATCGTCGTTATACCCTTGGACCAAAAAGAAGGACTCTATTCAAAGCGCAATGTAGGTGTGATGCTTTCAACGATTTTTTTCCGGCTACATGTAATGGAAAGAAGTAAGACTCTGCAACAAAATTATTTTTCTTGACATGAAATATCTTAAAGGGTGACTTAAAAAGACGATCGAATTTCTGTTGCGAAAAATAGGCCTTGCGCTCACCAAACGCATAGTACAGCGGCAGCTACATCCAATCATCCTGGCAATGAGGTCTGCGTTTCATCTCCAGTGAATGTCGGGCAGTAGGGTGGATGATAGGTCGAGTTCTTGAGCGGATCGCCGATTTTTCGTAACTGAACTTCAAATTTTTTCTAATCACCGTTTAAGATATTCCATAATCGGGAAAAAAAAAAACATTTTTTCAAATTTGGGGACCTCGATTGCGAAGCAAGTGAGGTCCGGAGGTTAAGCTTATGGCGTGCGCGATGCTGACCATTAGTTAGGCCGAGCGGCAATCGTGTGCTTGTGTGTGCGTGACAGCTCTACAGGAGAAACCCTTAGAGATGTAAACTTCAGTTTTCAACAGAACTCTTCCTTATAATTCGAGGATGATCCTTTTTGAAATGAAATTCGCCTATTGAGACCACGAATAGAGGGGAGGCAACTTTCAGGGAAAATCGGAGATTCACTCTCGTCATGCCAGTTCTCGGAAGAATGAGGAGACGAGAGTAGCCGTTGTAATCGCAAGGAACTTTGGCATCGCTCACTGCAGTGCCTCCTGCCTGCTGTGAGTAACGAGAGGCCGCAAATAAAAGCTCACATACTAAATTGTCACTCAAGGGTAACGCTTGAGGTAACTCTTTGATCCTTGGGTTGTTCTCATTCACTTGGTGTCAGTTCCCGTCCTTTGTAAAGAGGATTAACCAGGCGCACGGTCAGACTGAGGAAAGTAGGGGTGCTTTTGCCGCGTCCTGTCTTCTCCTATGTACAGCCATCGGATACATGGGGGGGGGGGGGGGAGACACCCCCCAATCACAATTTTCACATTCATTGTGTAGTGCACGCCAGTGACTAATTGCCCTTTTTCCGTCAGGCTCCGGACTCCGGTCCGGGGTAGGGTTAATTAATTGCTACTCTCCGCTACCCATGTCCCTTCACCTGTAGTTGTGACAGCGACAAGTGAGAACTAACGAGTGGCCTTCTCATAATCTACGACTTTGCCACGATTTCGCTGTCAAGAGGGATCAGGGGGTCAACCAATTTCCCCCAAAGCTCATAAGACCATTTTTGGTATTATCCCTCCTACCTTCTGACCGTGACGTGGATGGACCTAAAGAACCCTATATAAACTCAACTTGGAGAGCAGG